GGCCATCCTGCTGGGTTTGTGTGCGAGTGCCGAATCTTTGGCATCCGAGGTGCAATTTCTGAGAATTCACGGTGTGTTTGCATAAGCAGGATTCTGGCTCTCAAGCCTGATAAGATCCAAAACACACTGCGGAAATAATCCAGTTTGAGACCGCTTGAACTGCCCTGGCTCAGTGCTAGGGGATTCTGGGAACTGTCGCTCTGGGGCCACAATATGGTACAATTTCCCAGGACTCCCTAGCATGAAGCCAGAGAAGTTCAAGCGGTCTCAAACTGGATTGTTTCTGCCGTGTGTTTTGGACCAAAGACTACTTGAGGGCTAGCTCTTTACCACATCTTGATCTGCAGGCAGGAATAATAATAAATAATAATAAATTATTTATTTATAGCCCGCTCAATCACAAAGAATCCGGGCAGGTTACAACAATAAAAATACATAAAATACAATAGAATTAAAAAATTAATCCCTTCCCAACCCCTTTCAACCCGATGCTAAAATTATAATTAAACAAACATTATTTAAAAACAAATATACAAAAGTTTAAAAAGGGAGATAATTGGAAAAGAAAAATCCCTTGCAAATTCCCGTCCCCTTTGGGGGTTTTCAGTAAAAAATTCCAGATTGGAATAAAACTTCAAAAACTAAGGATGTTTAAGAGCTACGTATAATGTTCTGGAACAAGTGCCCTGAAGGTTGGGAGCAATCCGCATGCGTGCTTTTCTGAAAACCTAACAACAATAAAACATCTAGCAATTTGGAAAGACTTCACTGAAAAGATCCAGGACTAACTGTAAAAGACTTACTTCCAAGTTCTTTGAATTGGAACCAAAGATCTATCTCTTGCACCGAAAGATACTGCAAGAAAATTAAGGGTGGCTACTGTAGATTGCAAAAAAAGGATGATATACATCATCCCAAAAACGATGGCATAAAATTGTACATGTTAATTTTTATCTACCGCCGGAGGAAAAAAAATCTGATTTATCTTGTAAACGGAATTGCAGTGGGCCCTTGGTATCGGCTGGGATTTGGTTTCAGGACTCCCTGAGGACAATAAAATCCATGAATGCTCCCGTTATATACAGTGAGATAGTAAACTGGTGTCCCTTATATAAAATGGCAAAATCCGGGTCGGCTTTTTGGAATTTTGCTTTTGAGGGGGAATTTTTTCAAGCTGCAGATGGCTGAATCCATGGATGCAGAATCCGTGGATACGGAGGACCATACCTGAGCAGGTGACCCGTGTACCCATTGCATCTGCTGTCCAAATGCTGTCTGTAACCATAACTTCAGAGTCCCTGGTTTCTCTTCTTATGATGCATAGAATCACAGCATTGTAGAGTAAGAAGGAACCCTAGGGGTCATCTAATCCATCCCTGTGTGAGTATAGGAATGCAGAACTAAAGAATCCCTAACAGATGACCAACTAGTCTCTGCTTAAAGATTTCCAAAAGAGGAAAGTCTATCCCTTTATAAGGTAGTCCATTTCACTGCTAAAAGCTTTTCCTGTCTGGAGGTTCTTCCCGAAGATGAATCGCAATCTCCCTTTTTGGTTCTTTTTATTTAAAACAAATGTGGGCTGATCAGCCCTTCTAAGAAAGAGGACCATTCAAAAAAGGGGAATATCCCCTTGCAGACGGACCTTCATATGGAGGACTACTGTCCATTGAGAAGGACAGGTTGTCACCCTCAGTAAAGTGAATGCAAGTTGCAGTCATCCCAATCTTGAAGATTTGGGATATGTTCATATAGCTTTGCAATTTTGTAAACCCAAGCTGTGTGTTAGACAGAAACTGGAGGCATGTTTTAAGAGCAAAAAGAAAAAGGCAGTATGTAGGGAGTGAGCAATAGATAATTGTCGCACACACAAAAATATAGTCATTTTCCAAAAGTTGGTCCTCCGTACTCACTGATTCCTTATCCACTGATTCAACCATCCACGGTTTGAATATATATATATATATATATATATATATATATATATATATATATAATTCCAAAAAGCAAACCTTGATTTTGCCATTGTATACCAGGAATACTATTTTACTACACCATTGCATTTAATAGGAGTTGAACATCCACAGTTTTTAGTATCCATGAGGAACCAAATCCCAGGTGGATATCAAGGAAGCAAATCAATTCATTTGAGATTATGTGCTGGAGAAGAGTTGTGTGAATATTGTGGACTGCTAAAAAGATAACTAAATGGGTCCTAATGGGTCCAAATCAAGCCTGCATTTTTCCTAGAAGCAAAGATGACTAAACTGAGATTGTCACACTTTGGCCATATCATGGGAAGAAAAGACACCCTAGAAAAGACAATGATGCTCCGTAAAAAGGAGTGCAATAGGAAAAGAAGAAGGAAATCTGCATCCCTGATGGATGGATTCAATAAAGGTAGCCCATGGCCCTCGGTCTGCAAGATCTGATCAGGGCAGTTGAGGATAGGGTGACTTAAGGTCTCTCATTCATAAGGTCGCCTTAGGTTGAAGTCAAAGTGAAGACAGTTAACACCAACAAAACTGTCTGGATCTAGGTACCTCACCATGACTCCCCTTCTTCATCTTTTGGAGGAGAGCTGAAATGTCCCATCATGCGCCTAGGTTGTGTGTGTAGGGATATTTTTAGCAAAGCAAAGCAACTCATCAATAAAATTTTCCAGGGGGAGGACCTCAGAAACAAGCCACGGCCACATTTTGCCCACCCCAGTCTAAATTAAGTGTTTTTGTTATGTTACGCATTGCCCTGGACTCCCCAAGAAGGAACGGTGGTGTGTGTATGCACATATATATGTGTATATACGGTCGGCCCTTCTTATCCACAGATTTTTTTTATCCATGGATTCAAGCATCCACGGCTTGAAAGCATTAAAACAAGTATAAATTCCAAATAGCAAACCTTGATTTTTCCACTTTATATAAGGGGCACCGTTTGACCATGCCCTTCTATTTAATGGAACTTGAGGATCCACAGATTTTGTTATCTATCAGGGATCCTGGAACCAAACTCCAGCAGATAACAAGGACCCACTGTATGCGTACACCTATGGCTTGATGGCCATCTGCCAAAGGTGCTTTGATTGTGAGTTCCTGCATGGACGGGGGGGGTTGAACTAGATGGCCCTTGGGGTCTCTTCCAACTCTTATGATTTTGTGTGGGCCACAAAACCCACATGTAATGTTCTTTAAAAGCTGGGGGATTTTCTCCCCCAAGTCCAAAAGTGGCCTTTGCTTGCATTTTTTGGGTAGCCCGTGCTATGCACAGGGCATCACAGGCTGCGGATGTCTAGCCCTTGGATCTGCCACCTTTGCGCAACCCTCCTATAGAGCCAGAAGTGGGGAACCTCTTTGAGATTCAACTTCAGAGAAGTTCATGGAGGTGGAGCACATTCCAGATCCACCTCCTGCATACTATATATACTCATGTATAAGTCTAGAAATTTTAGTCCAAAAATTGACCCCAAAAAAACTGGGTCGACTTATCCACGAGTCAATGTAAGTACTGTACTTTAACTCTTATGTCGTCCCCTTTCTCTGAAAGGCGAGAGCTTAGTCCATCCTGAGAGCACCAAAAAGAAGCATGGATCTTCTCTACTCTCTCATCTATCCAGCCTTTAGGATGAGCACAAATAGTCATGCCTGCCAGAATTTTCTAAGTTCTTGGGCATTATTTTCCTTTCCATCATCCTTTAAATCCTTTGTTCCATGCTCCTAAGTTTTTACCCTCGACTTATCCACAGATCGTAACAAAATCATCATCTTGGCCCCAAAACCTGCCCTTGACGTATACATCAGGTCGACTTATAGTTGAGTGTATACAGTATTTATGATTTAAGATTCTTAGTGCCAGCGTTGAAGCCCTAGGAAAGGCGTTTCAGCCCTTTGGAATGTGGAAATCCATTTGCAAAGCTGGGAAAACCCCCTGGGCTGCAGTGACCTAAATGATGATGTCATAAGGAAGGGGGAGGAGCCACCTGGGGAAACCCCCAGGGCTGGAGGGGAACCCCAGGAGGGCCAGATTTGAACCCAGGATCTAATGTTTTCCACCTTTTCTGTACAGATGTAGTTAGGAATTTTTGGTCTGAGAAGGCATGCCTCTGAGGTTGGAAAAATTACTTTCTTTTGGTCCTACCGCTGGTAGAGATGTAAAATTTTTGGAAATTGGGATGACTTAGGAAAAAAATTCTGGAAAAACAACCCAGAAATTTGCAGGAAAATTTGCAATAATATATAGTGGGTCCTTGGTTTCCACTGGGGTTTTTTTTGTTCCTGGACACTTATAGTTGAGTATATACAGTATTTTTGATTTAATTATTCTTAGTGCCAGTGTTGAAGCCCTAGGAAAGGCATTTCAGCCTTTTGGAATGTGGAAATCCATTTGCCGAAATCCGTAGATGCTCCATTAAATACAATGGCATAGTGAAATGGTTATATACAATGGCAAAAACTGGGTTTCCTTTTGGAATTAATATTATTTTTGAACATTTTCAGACCATGGCTCTTTGAATCTGTGGATAAAAAATGGGTTGGATACAGATGTATTAGCATCCTTCACAAATGGGGGAAAAATCACTTTGATACTTTCTGGACATCAAATGTATTCTATACCTAATGTGAAACTGTTGCACGCTTTTGTTTGGCACAAAATAGTCATGTTTAGTGTATCAAGGATACAATTCAGTGAGGAGTTCTATTTTTAAAAAAAAGAAATCAGGAAAAAAAATGAAAAGAAAAACTTGGAAGGAAGACTCTGGGCTGTGTCACTTTTTAGATGTTTTGATAGCAAAAGCCCCAAAGAGAGTCCCGAAAGGCAGCTCTGTTGGTCTGTATTTTTTAAAAAAAACGCTAATAACTTATTTCTGCCCATTTAAATTTCCATGAGGAGCAGGTCTTTTGTAAAGCTAATGTTTTTTTCCTGCTTAAGACCAAGCCTCCCTAAAATGTATTGTATTAGAACAGAGATAGCTCATAACAATATATCATTGCTGGGAATATCTGAGAGCCAGTATGGTGTAGTGGTTTGAATGTTGAATTAGGACATTGGGAGACCAGGGTTCGAATCCCAGCTCGGCCATGAAAAACCACTGGGTGACACACTCTCAGCCTCAGAGGCTGGCAATGGCAAACCCCGGTGAAGAAACGTCCAAGAAAACTTTATGAGAGCGTCACCTTAGGGTCGCCATAGTTTGGAAATGAAGGCACACAACAGCAACAAGAAGAAGCTGGGAAGATCTTTTTCTCCTCTTTGTAGGGATTGCTGTTTAAAGGGATTTGTAGGGATTGCTGTTTAGAGTCTAAGATTTTGTAACCCCTGCTATTCTAAAAGGTCCTAGAGATACTCCACTGGAAGCCTTGATGCTGCTTCACCGCTGGTTGGTTTTCCCCATACTCTTGTGTCGAGATGATGTTGGTTTGCATTGGTTGGCAGTGCTGGCTGGGGATAATGGGACTTGTCATCCAGTACAGCCGAGAGGTGATACAATTGCTGGTGACAGGGGTTATACCACTCGCCTTCTCCAATCGCTCCCCAATAGACTGATGATCTCTTTTCCGGTAAAATTCAAAGCGCTGGTTATGACCGATAAGATCAGATCTAGGCAGCTGAATAATTACCCAACTTTGCTTTAGAGCAACGGTTCCCAAACTTTGGTCCTCCAGATGTTTTGAACTTCAGTTCCCAGAATGCCTGACTACTGGCCAAGCTAGCTGGGGCTTCTGGGAACTGGAGTGCAAAAGATCTGGAAGACCAGAGTTCAGGAACGGTTGCTTTATAGAGGATAGGAGGACCAGACCTGATTGTAGAAATGACAAGGGAAGAGATTCCTAGGCTCCGTTCACACTGCGGAAATAATCCGGGATAAATCTGGGTTGAATCCTTGGTGTTCACACATGTTCATGTGTTCACATGCACTCAGTGCACTTTTTGGGGTGCTTTGGCAAAAAACCCACTTAACCTGGGATATTCGATACCCCCCCCACGAGTTTTTCTGAAAGATCCACATCGATCCGCATTATCAACAGTATGAATATGCTTCCGAATTGATTCAGATTGCTCTGTATTGTTCAAAGGAAGGGAGGCAGCTCCATTTTAACCCAAAATGATGGCATGCACGAATAACACAAGGGCTAAAATGACTCCAAGAGATTCGCGAAGTCAAAATATAATGGAACAACAAGCACTATAATGCATCAGTGTGGCGATCCGCACCTCCTCGGGAAACAAAAAATGAGTGTAAATGCCCCCCTAGTAAACATTACAAAGGAACTACAGTGATTCCTCCACATTTGCTGGAGTTAGGAGTTTGGGACCCTTGTGGATGTAGAAAAACTGTAAATAAAATACACTATTCTTTTTATCTAAGAGAACACCTCTCCGTGAATTTACAGGTCCTGCAATGCATCTCTGTGGTCAACATCTGCCAGAATTTGACCATAGAATCATGCTGGAGGACCTACTATTGCCTAGAGTAGTGTTTTCTATAGGAACGTCTAGGTTCTCAGCGCAACTCTAGGGTCAACTTCCAGCAGAATTGCACTGGAGGACTTAGAGATGGAGGACACATTAATCAAAACTGCAAATAAATCCGCAAAAGTGAAGACCGCACATGTGTAGGGTCAGCTGTATTTGAAGAACTGGTGAACGCTCCTTTCTTGGAGTTATTTAAATACAGTTTTGATGGCCATCTGTCAAGAGGCTGTGCTCTTGCTTTGCATCTTGGACCATCGGGGGGTTTGACTATATAGCCTCTGGGGGACCCTTCCAAGCCTCGAATTCTGGGATGTTGGAGGCAGATGATGGAAGAAGGCTCCCGCTTCATGAGAAGAGAGAAGAGAAGGCCCTGATCACTTTATAGCATTTTTGTCCAAAGAGCATCTAGTGACTGTCCAGTTCCTGCAAAAGGGGGAATTTTGGACCTGGCATCTTTTCCTCCCTCCTCCTTTTGTTGTTTGTCATCCTCCTGCTGTCTCACTCAAGTATTTGGAGAAGCGGTTAGCTGAGTGCAGAACGCCTTGTGCTATTTATAACTTTCTTTCGCCCTGTGCATGTGTGTGTGTGTGTGTATGCCGGTGTGGTGTGTTCGAATATGTGTGCATGTGTGCATTGGTGAGGAGGTGTGTGTGAGCAGGCGAAAGGTTGGAGCCCTGGGAACGCAACCTGAAACTGGAGCCTGGCAATGCCAAGAGGCCTCCGAACAACAACAACAACAACAACAAAAAGTGGAATTTCCAGCAGAGCTTGTCGGGTTAGGAGCAGGTCGCCAAATGTGCATATTTTCGTGCATGCTCCTGGTTGGAGGTGTTCGCACAACTCGCACACAGGTCAGGACAGGAGGGTGGAGACTCGCAACGCAACACGACCTGAGATTCCAACCCATCCTTTTTGTCTCCTTGTGTTGCAATAGTCTTGGGGAAAAGCATTTAACTCGTAATTTGAGGATCAAGTACAGCCGGCCCTCGGGATCCACGGATTCCAACATCCGTGGCTTGAAAATGTTAAAACAATTCATTTATTGATTGCAAGGATTTATACCCTGCCTTTCTCCCACAATGGAAGAGGTGGGTTCCAAGAATTTAAAAAGGCAGAACTCAAACATTGATGACCAAATGCTGCCAACTTCTTTATTTCAAAAAACATCTGGGGTAGCCGTGTTAATGGCCATATTTTGTTGTTAATTCCCTCGAGTCGATCTCGACTCATGGCAATCCTATGGATAAGACATCTCCAAGACCATATAGTCAATCAAAAATCCACCAAGCAATGATACCTTTATGGGGCCAAGCAAAATGCACAATTACATGTTGCAAGCTTTCGAAACTCCACTGGCTTCTTCATCAAGGTGTTAAAAACCATACAAGAGGAATAAAAATGGAAAATGTTAGTCGTACACCTGGATTTTGCTGCTGTTTCTTCTCAGTTCAGATGGTATGAACGGGGTATTACTTGGAGGCTGGCACTACCTCCATCTTCTTTATTTCAGTTAGTCTCAAAGGTGCTGCAAGATCTCTACACTTATTGATGACAAAAGTTAAAAAATAACGAAATATTAACCAACATTTATTATCAAGAAATATTTGTTGCTGTTGTTGTTGTTTCTGACTTATGGCAGCAACCTTATCATGAAGTTTTCTTGGCAAGATTTGTTCAGAGGAGGTTTGTCGTTGCCTTCTCCTGAGGCTGAGAGACTGTGACTTGCCCAGGGTCACCCAGTGGGTTTCATGGCTGAGCTGGGATTCGAATCCTGGTCTCCAGAGGCATAGTCAAACATTCAACCCATTACGCCAAGCCAGGAGCATGCATGAAAATATACAAATTCCAAAAAGCAAACCTTGCTTTTATAATTTTATATAAGGGACACCAGTTTACTATGCCATTGTATATATAATGGGATTTGAAAGTCTTTGGATTTTGGTATCCACAGGAACTCCTGGAACCAAATCTCAGGGGATACCAAGGGCCCACTGTGGTTGGTTTTATTTTATTTAAAAATAAGTTATTTAATTATTTACCTTATTTATATGCCATCTTTCTCCTAGGGTCGGGACCCAAGGCGGCTTCTGTAACGACAAATGAAAAACATTTACCAAAAGTTTTTAAATCAGTTTAAAAACGCCACATTAGAACGTTATATAACCGGTTAAAACTCTTACAGAAGTTGAAAACAAATAAAACATACTTCTGTATTAAAACGCTTAAGCATTAAAAGCTTGCTTAAATTATAATAAATGTTTTTGCTTTCCAGTCTGGCTGCTGCAATCCTAGGGGAAGGTTGCATCCCATGCACTTGCTATGGAAGGATGCTTCGAATCTAAGCT